AGGGAAAACTCCCGGACAAGTTCTGCAACCCAACGAGTTAGGTAAAGGAAGTCGTGCCTGGCACTGGAGCAGCAGGAGATATATCGGGTGTGAGCAAAGGGCATGTGGGCTGATAAGGGGAAGGGAGGTTTCTTGTGCTGCATTAGCAGGTTTTGGCTAGGGTTGCAAGTTTTGGGTCTGGAGATGACTTGTTAGCAAATCATCTTGCTCTTTGCAAACTTACTTCCCGGAATGCTAGGGAGAAGGGGCTTTGTGAGCCCTGCCCTGGGAGATAAGCTCTGTGGACTGCTGGAGGCAAAGGTTACAAAGTTCAGCAAGTTACTTGTCTTGAGAAGCTGGTGCAAGGGGCTGCCTGGTCTGGACCCAGCCCAAACACCAACCAAGCCAAACTGACCCTCTCCTGGAAGTGGGGGTGGCAGAGAGCAGAACTGAACCTACAGGTTGGGAAGAGGGGTCAGCATGCCACACCCACACAGAGGCAGGCCAGGAGGGAGGAAGAGAGAGCCGGACTGGACCCCACACTGGCACACCAGGCTCAGAGGATGATGTCCCTGTGGGGAGCTAATGGGACACAGAGGGGATGGGGAAAATGATAACAGCACGTGTCCCGCTGTCCCCTTATTGGAGCAGACTGCGACAGAGGACACTTCTGGGGTCACATGGAGGGGAAGCAGCATGGTCTAAAAAACCCAAATTGGAGCGAATCAAGAAAGGCGTATACCTGGATAAACAACCCGGAGGAGAAAACAACAGGATCGACAGTTCCGGGGTCAGGGGAGAGGGGGAGGTGGGGGAAAGGAAGTGGTGTTAACAAACTCAGGGACAAGGGAAAAACAAGTGATCCAAAATCGATGGCGAGGAGGGTGTAAGAGGCCTGGTAGGCTTGAGCAAGGGTAATGTAACCAAGGGAAATACTGAAACTCAAATGAAGGCTGAGCATGATAGTGGGGCAAGAGGAAAGTAAAAGTAAATAGAGGAAAGATCTAGTAGGTAAAGGGCATTTATAGAGGTCTAAATACAGGTATGTGCATACATAAATATACTTATTTATGAGGATGAGGAAATAGATCTATGTGCATATATTTATAGG